GCTTAAAACTTAAACGGGTATGAAAAATTAGGTTTGCTCAGTGACTGGGATATGGGAATATGTTTTGTTCCTAAAATCGCAAGATCAATCAAGTTATATTCTCGTTTAACTTTGACAAAACAACTTAATGATTTAATTCACTGTTTCTTTATGTCCAAAATAATTTGTCGAACTTTCTATAACAATGAATTAGAGGGACGCGAAGATTTTTTTTAAAAAATACTTAAAATTGATCAACATAGAAATACTTTATATCTTTTATTTCTCACCCAGAAAAAGTATTTCTAAAAGTATTCATCATAACGGATGTTGCATGACATACATATGACAATACTCGTATTATGAAAATCCATGCCATTTCCCTCCTTCTATTGTCTGGCATCTGTCGTTTGCCCAGTTTATGACACGAGTGAGCAACTGGTTAAAGGAGGATGGTACCCGGCACAACGCCAAAAGTTACGTATCATTTGAAAAGGTGTTTTTATGTACAATAAGAAATAACATTGCGATTATTCCAATATGTTGTCCGATCGGAATATTGACACCTGCAAGGTTAGCGAATTTCAGGATGTTTATGTCACTCCCACTAAAGTGTTTGCACCTATAACATTTATTTCTACATCATTACGTAATTTCTATTTGCTACCTGATCAGATCAGAGTTTTATGAACTGAATGCTGACATTCTGAATTACATCTTTAGAGTGTTGTGTTTATATAAAAGTTCCGCTTTCGAAAAGGCAACCTCTAATATAGTTTTCCGGTGAAATAATGAATTCCTTATACTTTTGTCGGAGAGTAGCTAAGATACGCAAAAAGTGCGAGGAGCGCATAAATTAGTCTGTTAAGTGGGAGTTTCAATTTATAAAAGGGCAGTGGCGTATTTAAAAAAAATCTTAAATGTCCGAGTGATAATTCAAAAATTAATAGTTCCTTTGAAAAGACTGATTCAAATCTAACTAATAACAATAGAAACTTTTTGCGTAACACTAGCCATTGATAAACTATCATCAAAATCAGTCTAGTAGTTTTGGTTTTTATCTATAATAGACAGAATAGAGCTTATGTACTAGAATAGGAAGAAATACTCACAATATACAGGGTGGGTCATGAATTAGTTAACATTTGAAACAATGGTATGAAAAAACGTTTGATATATTTTAAAAAATGTTTATTCACAAGAAAGCTAATTAGTTGGAATTCATTTGTTGAAAATTATATCATCTAAATGACCACCGTTACGATTTTTGCACTCTTCTAAACGTGTACCGAAGTTTTCGAATAGTCGTCGGCATAAAGACTGCGAGATCGCCGACATCTCTTCGTTGATGTTTTCTTTCAGTTGAGGAGTGTACTTGGTTTATCGATGCAGACACGATGCTTTAAATATCTATATCTGGACTTTTGGGTGGCCATGGGATGTCGCCTCGTCTGGAAATGAGCTATTCCGGAAACAGTTCTTTGACCACCGGCAGGGACTCGTTGGATGTATGACACGTGGCTCCATCTTCTTGAAACCATGTGTTACGATTATAGCCAGCAAATTCCAGTAGCATCGATGCCAACAGCTCCCATAATATTTTCACATACTCAGCAGAATTAACAGTAACTGAATGGCCGCGAGAATCTTCAAAGAAGTAGGGGCCAATGATTCCTTTTGCTGAAATTGCAGCCCATACAGTTACTTTAGGAGAGTAAAGTGGCTTTTCGTGTTTAACTTTCAGATTTTCGCTGCTCCAGTACCTGCAATTCTATTTATTCACATGTCCGTTGAGGTGGAAATAGGCTTCGTCAGAAAATAAGAGATTGTCAAAATTACTGAATCGAGCTAACATCGTTTCGGCATACGACTTGCGCAAATTTAAATCATTAGGTTTCCGTTCCTGCACTCTCTAGATATTATATTTTTCAAATCTAATCTCAAAATACGGCGTAATGATATGCGGGATAATCCTAATTCAGCCGAACGTTTGCGCGTCGATAAATCTAGATCACGATGAACAAAAGCGGAAACTTGCTGCACGTTCTCTTCGCTCCGAGCAGTCCGTAGGCCCCCGGTTTGCTTCACATTCAGTGTAGATCCCGTCTCATCGAACTTCTTCACCCATTTCTTTATCAAAGGAGCACTCAGACACTGACTTAAGTCGTGTAAATTGTATTCAACGCGAAATAAGCGTCTCACAGTAATGAGTGAACTGTTGTTAAAGTAAAATTGTTTCACACAGTAAGCGCGTTGCGGCCCCGTGAAGCGATCCATTGCGACTGGATTAACGAGAAACCAGCTAGCGACTAGCCCACTGCCCGCCCTTAGCGCGGCATCTGTTTGCGTGGTGTATTAGATTTAAATGTTAACGAATTCTTGGCCCACCCTGTATAACAAACAAAGATAAATTACAAAAATTTAATAAGAATCAATTTCTGGTAATATTTTTGGGCCATGCCTTTGGATACATTCAGTACGATGGACACGGTTGGGATAAACTATAATTTAACTCAGGAATACATTGGAAAAAATCGGATATCTATGTTCTTTGTTTTGTATACCAGATTGTTCACCTGTTCCAATACATGTCCGGTATCGGCTAAAAATACCCAACAATCAGTGTATTTATACAGCGTATATCTCAAAACGGACAATCAATTCGTACTTTTATCCTCGATAAATCATTTTCCATTTGAAAAGACCTAACCAACATCGCATCGCTGGTCAGAGTAGCAAAATGCCCCAGGTTCCTTCTGTGTACACATTCACCATTTTAATATAGAGCGTGCTCATTCGTTAACAAGCATATGAAGATACTTTTAGTTGTTAAAAGTTATTGTAAGGTGCGTGAAATCTGATCTTCATTTGAATAGTGTAATGCATAGTCTAAATTTCATCAACTCGAAAACTTGGTTATCTCACCACGCTAGAACTTATTAAGCCGTTATCATCATGCTGTCAGAACCTAGAATTAGCAGGAAGTGTTCGAAAAAACTATAGTAACACTAAAAACCAAATAAAACAAATATCACTTATTCAATAAATGTGCCTCTTTGCCTGCAACTTGACTTCATTTAGAATTGAGTGATATTCAAACCTTCAACTAAGAAGCACGGTGTTAATAAGTTTATTTGATATAAGATTGATTATTATTTATGCTTTTTACTTATTGTTCTTTATCTACCAATTTCTATATGAGATCTCTTTTTGAGCATTGTCAAGCATATGTTGAGAGTGGTATCGCTGACAATTAAAAAACTTTCTTAAACGCTGCCTTTCTGTTATTTTTTTGCAGTTAAGCATAATCTGCTTCAAAACTCTTTAAAATACATTTTTGGATGATTGCATTTGTTTTATTATTCAAAATAGCATAGATGCCTGTACGCATTTATGTTAATTAAAATTTCCTGAACTTTATTTCTTTCGTCCAACGGTTAGTTGATTCTATGAGGGAGATATATCCAAATACAAGCGTTAACACCAAAGAAACGGCAACCAGACCACATATCGGAATCACTGTCGCTAATCGCTTTTCAGTTGCCGACCAGTTGATAAAAGATTTCACCTGTAGAAGTCATTTTTTTACACTGAAACAGCCGCGCATGCGGAAGCCTAAATACTAGAACACCGCGGCTGTAATGAGGATCCCAAAGACATTTTGTTAATCCGATTTTTGAACTGCCTAACGTTAGTAGAACTGTGAAAAGCCTCCTCTTGTAGGTTGTTTCACAGTCTCTACACCCTCAGGACCAAGGAGGGGTCGTATCGGCAATGTCACGATGTAAGAAGTTCGGCATGGTTAGAATGGGAGCCTGAAGTCAGGCTGGTATGTTTGGCAGACACAACTTGCGGCGGTATCATGGAGGAGAGCTCTGAGGAACAAAGGCCGTTGGTGTAGCGGTAGAAGAAAGCTAGATCGCCGACGCCCGGTTCGATTCCGACCAGGCGAAATAAACGGCTCTTTGGCAGACCTCGGCCATCCATCGAAACCGGATGAGCGCTAGGACGCTTTTTGTTCGTTAAGGTACGGTACTGGGTTTTGGAAGCATTACCATAAGCTGTACAAGATTGTTGCGTCCCTAAGCACTGACAACCTCAAGGACTCTCGTCAGAGAGGAAGTCGCTGCTAGTATTATTTATTTCAGCTCACCGGTAGAGACAGGCTTGAATTCCTGTATGTAGGGTGCTGTCATGAGCAAAGCTGTGAATTGGATTGATCGTACAGGAAAGGAGATCGTTGATATGTAAGAGGAACAGTGTCGGAGCCAAGACCGATCCCTGAGGAATACTCGCGTTGACGTTGTGGGATGAAGAGGAGAATCCGTCAAATACGACGGATATCTTGCGGTCAGAGAGAAAATTTGCATAAGAAGGCACCGTGCCGCAGCTGATCGAACCTTCCATGATATAGAAAAATCAACGACATAAGCCTCACCATAAGCCTGGATAAGTTAACTCGACAAAATGGGTGACGTAAGCTAAGAGGTCCCCCGTGGATCGCTGGGGCCGAAAACCATACTGCCTGTCTCTAATCAAGCCGTGACGTTCGAGCCAGAAGCTTGCGATTTATGCATCTCTCCATCACCTTACTATAGGCAGAGCTCTAGGCCTGTTTGACTCTGTTGGAGTAGCAATGTTGGAAAACTTCAGAACGCAATAGCAAAGCAAAAATAGTGTGTGAGTGGATGTCTACTTACTCTGAACTTTTAGGCAATTAAATAAATACTAAATATTCTTGCGCAAATTTATTTGTGAAGTGCATTATTTACGGTCTTTCTCTCAATCACGAATTTTGAGTATCAAACAGTATATTTTCATACCACTTCCATGATCGTAAGTAGATTATAAATCCATAATGTCGAAACAAGGGTACCAGTTGCTTCGCAATTGTCTAAGATCTGTAAACGCAAAAACAACGCAACCTATGTCAAAATTAGGATTACTTTTGGTAAGAACAATATCTTAGGCACGAAGTACAATGAAATTTAGTGCAATATTTATGATCCGTAGTAACTTACCCGTCTGTGAAGGCTGCTCCATTTAAGGAATCTAGATAGTATCCATCCTCGGTAGGAAGTACCTTCTGAGCGTCATCAGCAGAATCTTGTGAAAAAGCATGTGGTTGATTCAGTAGCAGTAATACTATGATCACGAAATTTTGTCCATCTGTCGCCATATCCGAAAAGCTAAAAATTTCAAATTCTGCCATATAATGCCCACTGTCTCTTTAATCGCCCTTTAAAGGGTGCTTCATGAAGAAATGGAACCCGTTTTGTGTTTGGATACAAAAAAATCTAAATTCATTTTCTATCAAAACACTCCAATTCTTTAAAATCAAACATTTTTCGCACTACTGACCCGCCTTTTAGGAAATTTTGCTACCAGGACTCTTATTCCCGAAAAAGGGTAAGCAGAATCACTCAGGGAAAGTGGCCGTGATCTTCTTTCCTGAGGAATGATCCCAAATTCTACAATTTGTTGGCCTTTGTAAAACGAGTTTATCAGTGCATCGATCTTGGGCAAAATATGTTCCTGGGTCCTTCATGTCATTAAACGTCCAATAGCAAAGTTAACTGCGTTTTTAGAATATTAAGACATGGATGACGTCAAGACTTCCGCACTTTATCTACCGAGAATGACTTGAGAACGACGCTTGTACCTTTTACTTCCTCATTTCAAGTATCAGTCTCCTGAGGGTAACCTAAGGTTTCCAGAACGGATAAACATCCAGAGCCGATAACAATTTTTTAGATTGTCCTTACTATATCAAAATCAGCCTGCACACTGAGAAAACGTGGTCAATTAAACAGTTGTTCTGGAAACTTTTCATTACCGTAATACATTTTTTAACTACTCTAGTAACTAAATTATTCGGTTTAATCACACTGAATTTCCTGAACCAGTTTAATTGAAAGTAATATGCTATTAAACTAATTTGCTTGAAAATAGCAAACCATGTATCAGTTTTAGTATATGTTTTATTAAACTGTTTCATCAGCTGGGCAATTCAGATTACGTAGAAAACGTACATTTAGAATAATTTACATTTTGATAAAAACTGTTGAACTGTTTATTTGAACCGTAGACTCGGAACTTCATTCGAAAATAATCGGAAGTATGCGACAGACGCAGTTCCAGTGACGCTCTACGAACTCCTCAGTTTCATTTGTAATTTTCGCGAGGAGCTTCATTTTCGAATGTTGCCGTTGTTGGTGTATTAGCTATGGAGTGAATCAATTATTGTGGTGATGAAGTGAATTATTCGAGAATAAGGCGGTTAGTGACCCATAACCATAGTTAGAACATTACTCGCTCCAAATGAAACACTGTGTGTGGGGAGTCACTGCTGGCGTAACGGAATAGGAAGAACTTTCATTTATGCAGCCATATTTAGGTCTTTAAAGGGCATTTGTACCAAATATGTACTTAACAGGGGCTTGATGTGTTTTTCTTCTATATTGTAATGTTTATGTAGGAGGTGGAGCCTCCTGCTGTGTCGAGCGATTATTTTTTGTTCTTATTTTTGGCCTTTCTCTCCGCCGCCACTAGACCGGTTTTCAAAAACTACAAGACTTTTTTGTTCCTCTCATAATAGTAACCTTGTGTGTGAACATTAACAAAACATATCTCTTATGTCGAAATTTTTCCCGATTACCCTACTTCCTCGCTAGTAGGCGTGAGAAGTAAAATGTAATCTAAGACTAAAGCACCACTTCTTCTAAATGTTACGACCCATTTTATTTTGAGTATGTGTCCAGCTTTAAACTAAATAATTATTTGTATTGATTAGGGCATTTTCTACGTAACACAAAAAGATGGCGAGTCCAGACCTGGACACCAGATTTTTTTGATTATTATCTTTAAGTTACTTTGAAAATTTAAACTCAGATTGTATACTTAAGTACCATTATTCTTTTGAGCAGAATTCATTGTAAATTACTTGATAGATCTAAACCACTATAGTGGATTAAGTTAAAAACGTGAAGTATATCAAATAATTATTTTCTTTAGTAACCATTATTGTCTTTATTAGCAAATAGAGGAATTCACTGTTCAGGTTTTATGGTACTGACATTAGTAAAAAAATATAAAAAATGTCTATAGCTGGATTTTTAAGATATGTATCGATTTAGATACAATTTTAAGCGTTATTCTGGAAAACTTTATTGAAGATAAATGGAACTTGAAATGTTTTGTATCACCTGAACTGATAGGCATTAATTTTTTAAATGTTTTTCTAACCAAGAAATCATAGCCATCCAGTCTGTTCTGCTCATTGATAAACAGTATTAACTAGCTATTTACGTATGCTTAAACATGACAAATATACGTAAAATAGAAAAAGGGAGTCTGTTCTTTTTTTTCAGCTGACTAATTAGGTTTTGGTCACTCTTAGGTAGCTCAAATATTACGCAAAATTTAATCAAATCCTGTTCAGTAGTACCAAATATATGTGACATCGAAGACTTTGGGTGTTTTGATAAAAAGACATATCTTTTTTATTTCAGACGTGGAACGGACTTGATCCATACTATCTACTGTTGCACTATGTTCCTCTAATAATATGTTCACACATAAGGACCCAGTATAATCAAATACTGAGTAACATAAAACACGAATACGGGCTCATTAACATATTTCGAGCCAAATTATCGGAGTCGATAGTATAAAGATATTCCCGGAAAAAGTACTTCAAAGCCAATCAAATCAATATGTACGACTAAATACTCGTCTTTATCACAAACTTAACATTTTGTTATTCTTTATGAACCACTAATAGCACATTTCCCTGATAAGTATTTAAAAAAAACGATAAATGGCAAGCTAATAATTAAGCTTTAGCAAACGCTAAAAAATGCACACCTATACGTACCTTTATTTTAAATTTTCCATTCTGTAATCATCCTTAAAGAACCTCCTGTAACACATTTTCTAATCAAGCAGTTCGAGAAACCGATATAGTAGCAAGATACGCGGCGAGTTTTAGCAAAGGATGGCATTCCCAACGTGACGCCAAGATAGATAATTGCAGTCTATTTAGCGTCTACCGAGTAAATAAAATGAGCGCCTTTTACAGATCAGTTAAGTGGTAATGATGTTAAATATTTAGAACAAGACGATATATGTACATAAACACATTTATAGTCTGGATGACTTATTTTTTCGTATAATACTACTTTCAAGCCGCTTGCACTTGTTGATCACTTGATTGTTTTCTCACAAAGTCTCTTTTTATTTTAGAAAAGGTCTGGAGTTCCTAAGGTCAGTTCGGGCAAATATTTTGAGTAATATATCAATGAGGAGGTTTCCTATTTTTTGAATCACACTTAAAACGATAGTCTAAGTAAAGTGAAATATAGCACTGAAGAAATGTTTTGAATATCTTAAAAAATTACAAACTTACGTTACCTCATATTTGGCGAACTATCTTTATGGAGCGCGAGACTGAGTTATGATGTCACATGACACCAGCTGTAATACGTAGGAACACAAAGCGATGCGCCCGCCCCACAAGCTTCGCGCGACTTACAAATGTTGCTCTATCCATATTTACGATTTACGGTAGAAAGGGATAAAAAATCCATCGACTTAAAAATACTGTATTGTACCTAGGTTTACAAATATATGCATATCAACTCCAGAAAAACATGTTTACATGTTTGTGTCAAAACATAGAGGCAGGGTAATGAAACAGGGACAATAAAATTCCTTGATCCGAAAATATCATTGTTCTGCTGTAAATGTCGTTTTGATTTAGTAGTTGTTCAGTTAATATGGCAAAAAGAATCAAAATAAATACATACACTGATGAATGAACCTAATAGGTGCAAAGGAGAACGGAGAAAGATTTGATTATCTGCAAAAGATTGGGAAATCTCGAAACTGGAGATACTACAGACCAAAATATGTGAATCGATTAAACATACCTCAGTCCAAAAGTTGATAGTTTGCGAGATACAGGGTGCCAAAGTTACAATTTTGTTTTGTATTTTTCCTTGTTGCTTGAGAAGTCTTTCAGATTTTGGCATAAAACTCGGTATATGGAGGGCTTTCTAGTATGAGAAACAAGAATCCGTTATTTTTATGACCAAACTTCTAGAGGGCACCACTTACAGCACTATTTTGGTAAATAACTCATTATAATTTTTTTGTGCTACCGTATATACAACAACTGACCGAAAAATCTGATTTTCTCGTATTTCCACAACAAAAAGGGTTTACTTGTTAGAAGTGTCTAAAGCTGATAGTTTTCAAGATATTTGTTTTTAAAAGTTTCTAATGTTTGTCATAATATTGCTTTGAACTTCATCAATAATTTTAAGTTGACAATAAGTTGTTAAACATCATGGAGTATGCGTTTGATGAATATTCTGATATGCATTTAATGTACGAATGAACCTAATAGGTGCAAAGGAGAACGGAGAAAGATTTGATTATCTGCAAAAGATTGGGAAATCTCGAAACTGGAGATACTACAGACCAAAATATGTGAATCGATTAAACATACCTCAGTCCAAAAGTTGATAGTTTGCGAGATACAGGGTGCCAAAGTTACAATTTTGTTTTCTATTTTTCCTTGTTGCTTGAGAAGTCTTTCAGATTGTGGCATAAAACTCGGTATATGGAGGGCTTTCTAGTATGAGAAACAAGAATCCGTTATTTTTATGACCAAACTTCTAGAGGGCACCACTTACAGCACTATTTTGGTAAATAACTCATTATAATTTTTTTGTGCTACCGTATATACAACAACTGACCGAAAAATCTGATTTTCTCGTATTTCCACAACAAAAAGGGTTTACTTGTTAGAAGTGTCTAAAGCTGATAGTTTTCAAGATATTTGTTTTTAAAAGTTTCTAATGTTTGTCATAATATTGCTTTGAACTTCATCAATAATTTTAAGTTGACAATAAGTTGTTAAACATCATGGAGTATGCGTTTGATGAATATTCTGATATGCATTTAATGTACGAATTGGCAAGATGAAAATGTTTTAGAGGCTGTTTTTGAAAATCCTGCAGTTGGGTTAGGAATGTAGCTCGAGAATTTCAAGTTTCCAAACGTACAATAAATACGATTTTTCAAGAGTAGCTGCTCCATCCATACCACCTACAAAAAGTATATGGTTTAAGCGCGGATGATGTCCCCCAAGGGTAGAATTTTGTACATAGCTCTTAAGGAAGTTTAACCACGACAATGGTTTTACTTCGTTAATATAGCAAATGGAGTGTCAATTTGTTTGCTGATTATTGCTGGACATTGTTAAGACATCGACAACAACATTCTGAGATTAATGCTTATTCGAGTGTTTATTAGTACTCTTACACACTTATTCTTAAATTTTACGAGTATAAGCAGCAAATAAAACGCCTTGTTGCAAGAAAACCGTGGGTGATAGAAAAAATCGAATACAATTTCCGGCATTTTGGGTACGTTTTGCATAATAACCACCTTGTTTTGTGTCCATGTCACAAAAGTTATTTTAATTCTGTTCACCAGTGTTATATACCGAAATAGTGCTATAAGTGGCGCCCTTTAGAAGTTTGGCCATAGAAAATAACGGATTCTTGTTTCTCATACTAGAAAACCTCCCTTTACCCAGTTTTATGGCAAAATCTGAAATACTTCTCAAGCAATAAGGAAAAATAGAAATTAAAATTGTAACTTGGATACCCTGTGTCTCGCAAACTATAAGCTTTTGGACTGAGGCATGCTTAGGTCAATTCACATATTTTGGTCTGTAGTATCTTCAGTTTCGAGATTTCCCAAGCTTTCGCACTATATACTGAGATATGTGTTGTGGCTGGAGAAGGACAGGACCACGGTTTCCTATGCGATCCCACCACCATCCCTGTCCAGGTAGCATTCTCTTTCTGGTCTAAGTGGCGGCACGTGGACTGGGCGCTCCTGCTGCCTGTGTTCCTCCCCTCCCAACATCAATTTTGCCCTTCAAACTTTCTAGTTGTCCTCCTCTGAATTTTGCCCCGCCGAAAAGTTGTGTAAGCTAATCTCGACGTGGATGAAAGGCTGCGGAATGACAGTGGTCATTTATACTCGTGTACCTTCCATTTTGATTTTATGAGTCATCCCTATTTGGGGTTTGGGGACCTTGACCTGAGTTCCACTTTAAGGTTGCCCAGGATGGCTATTGGGCTCTTCGGTTTGTTTTACCTTCTTTCTTGAGTTGCCTGCTTGTTAGTTCCATCTAAATGCCCCGCACCTTAAATGAGTTGGTGCATACAGCATGGCAAATCTCCGCCGTCTAACCACCGGTTCTGCAGAGGGCTTTGCCTCTCTTGCTTGCAGTATATTCCCCGCTTCCCTTCTTTAGGACTCATCAGCTGCTATGTCCCGTGTCTTCTAACAGCTGGCTTTTCGGTTTTTTGTGTCTGAGTACGAATCTTGGATCGTAGTCCAGGGCTGCCTTGATGAGCTGGTTCTCGTGATCTCTGGTGGAGAAGGAATACTCCTTGGACATTGTCTGCGTCGTCAAGGAGATGCAACAGGAACCAAAAAACTTACCCAAAAACGCAAAAAATATATAATATATAATATTATATATAATAATCAAGTAGCGTCACGTTTGAAAATAATCAGCTATATTGAGATGTAGCAAAATGGATTGTGGAGTCGAAGGTATGTATAGTTATTAGGATATGGCATTGTATTACTCATCAATTGGATTGATTAAAAATCATTATGTTCCAGATTTTTTCATATTTAAGCCTTTATTGGTACCTACATAAATAACAAATTAGAAAAAAATTTAATTATGTAGATATATTACTACATTTCAGATTTATTTTTGAATTAGAACAATAATATTATTGTCCATGGGTACCCATGAGAATTTTTCTCAGGTGTTGATCATCGTGCCCCAAAACTTTTTAAAGAAGTAGAAAATTTTCTCAGGGGGACACGTCCTAAAAAATCCTAAACTTTATCAACAAAATCAAGCTAAATATGCAAATTTCAAGGTTCAAGCGGATTCTCAGGAGATGACACAGCATTTAGATTCCTTAAGGTACCACACACACACACAATTTGTAAACATTTATGTTTTTTATTTGCAAACAATAACTAATTTTCTCATCGATATACATGGTTTACACATGATTCAAAATAGCCCTAGTGTATTTTTCAACTTAAATCTATATTTAATGTTGACTATGCATTATCAAGATATATAATATTCAATATTTTATTTCAATTCTTAGTAAATTGTCATTAAAGAATCTAATTTTGATTCGAATCATCAATTTATCCTTACTGGTATCTATCTAACTTTTAAATATGAACACCAGCCTCCTTTATTCAATAAATCCAAAATAATGACCAATAAATTGATTTGCATCTCAGCCCACTTGATAGGTTCGATTTCATTGAAATTACAGTGAGCTTTGCATATTTACCCTGCTGCTCTAGAAATAGCTGATTTAAAACGAAATCTGGAAACAAACTTTGACAAAAAGCAGTACAAATCATCACTGGTTATCAAGTCATATAAATACCTACCAATAATATGATCGGCAAATATCATCCTTCAAAGCTGTGCCTTTTGGTTTGATCACAAGTGATTTCCGAACTTCTGATTATTCTCGGGACCTCAGTAGTTGATAGCGGCGGCTGTAGGACTCTTCGTAGAGCTCTACTGTTCAGAAAATCATGTGGAGATTCTAACAGGCATGTTATTCAAATATGACATTCCTTAACTTAGTAACCGCTGCATCTTTGACCTTCCTCAGGATCTGCCCGGAGCCGGGCTACTGATTGGGTTCACTTTGGATGACCTTAAAGAAACAGTTATTAAGTGGAGTTTGTCTGATATTATTTACAAACATATTACAGCTTTGTTTACTTACATTTTTATACTTCTATAGGATACGAGACGAGGTGATAATAATAATAATAGATCGATAAACGTGAAAACAAGAAACCCGCCTTAGAAGTACCCTCTGCACTATTTTGCTTTTATTACAAGATCAGTACGTAAATAATTCGATAAGAGCGACAATGTCAAGATAATATATAAGCCACTCACGCGATAAGGGCGATTTGACCGGATTGTCGAGGCCAACATTTATCTTTAGAAAAATGATTTGAGTACCTCCCATATTCAACCGACTCATGATATGACATGCACAAATCTACTAGTTACCATTACATCAGTGTACTCCGACTACTAGGAAG